ACTAACAAGCATATGAGCTGTATCAGTGGAGTCCATCCCCTATCTCCTCCCAAACAACATCCGGTTTAGAGGTCCATCCCCTATCTTCCCCTAAACCGTGGAGTACATCCCCTATCTCCTCCCACACACACAACGTATATACACATAGGTCATATACACAATCAATCAATACATAACGCAAATGTATTCTATCAACCGTCATACTATATGACACATTCAATTGATTAGTTTTAGTTTGCCTAATCATCATGCATTGTCTACAACAATCATAGCTACCCTCCACCGGTAGCCCAAAGCAATTATCTCTAAACAGATAATAAAAGCTCCAACAGATAAAATATCAATGTTTTCAAAAGTGAGCGATTAATAAATACAACTCCACCATTTTATCATATAATGAGCTAATTTCATTATTTTCAACTCAATTTCATTATTCCAAAATAGATGTCATTATTTACACTAATGACCCAAATGTACCCAAACATGACATTTTTCCCCATTTTCCAATATTGACTCAAAGGTCCAAATATCATCATTTAACATCAATAACCCCCTTTTTAGACTCAAAATATATATACATGAGCCAAAAGAATAAAACCCCTATTTTCAATACAACACATCTCAAACCCTAACTTCCCAAATCAAATCATTTATACACAATACTCAACATCTATGTTAAAGCACATAAAAATGAGTAGGAATCCCTACCTCAAGAGATGAAACCCAAAGGAGATGATGAAAAAATCTCGAAATGCTCCAAATCAACAAATTCTCGGATAGATAGGAAGCCCACAACAAGCTCTACACTCTTTGCAAAGACACTAAGGGAGTAGGTCACTCTAACTAGATCAATCCCTAAAGAAAAGGTATTTTCTAGAGAAAGGAGCTCTCAAAATCGGTTTTTGGGAAAGTAAGAGAGAGAATGAAAAGTGAAAAGTGATTCAAAAATGCCCAGTTGCCAACTGATATATGCATGACCCGCTTGAGCGGATAATAGGACGCTCGAGCGTCAAGCACAAAAACTGGACCTGCTCGAGCGCAAGAACTCGAGCGCCAAGACACAAAAATAAAACACATCCGCTCGAGCGCGAAAACCAGTCCGCTAGAGCATGGATTCTCCCCTCCCAGTATTTTCTCAGC